CCAGTGTCTGAGTACAGGTCCCCAAGCTCTAGGAAGAAAGGGTCTCGGCCAGGTCTCATCCCACTCAAGAAGATACCTTACTCTCTGGCCCCACCTTCCAGGGACCCTGTTCCAGTCATTTCTGGTCACACTGGGCTCTTGCCAGAGCCTCTGGCTCAGTGGACCCTCGGGGGACCAGACCAAGAACCCCAGTGATTTTTTTCAAAGTCTTCATCTAAACAAAAAAATCCCTGGAGGAGAAGTGAGGGGCCACATCTCAGAACCTATGGCTGGAGGGTGACCTTCACTTGCATAGACAAACCTTTCACTTTTCTGGTGACCAAAGTCTGCTGCCTGAGAGGAGGGTAGGTGCTAGATGCCAGTCAGTGGTCACTGGAACCTGGCTGGGAATCCAGTGACCCCTACCTCTCCTGCCCCTGGGGTGCTCCCTCATCCCCAAATCCATCCAGCTCCAGCTGAAGGTGACAGGCCCAAGAGCAACCTCTGCTGGGACACCAGAGCCCCGCTGCCCTGTGAGGCCCAGCTCCCCATCTACAGCCTCCACCCATGGCCCCCAGGCCTCCTTCCTCTGGGCCACAAACTCTCCTTCATCCCACAGCAAACGCTCCTGCTGGAGAGGAGGACAGGACAGGGTGGGCACCAGGGCAGGTGCGCCTGACAGAGCAGCCCGGGACCTTACCAGGGACAGCTGCAGAGTGTGGGTCATGAGTATATGCAGTATGATCCCACCCCAGGCTCCTCCCCCCAGCCAGTGGCCCAGGCCAAAACTTGGGTCATTTCCAAAAACAACCAGGGTGACACTCCTGGCCTGGTTGATGGCATGTAAATTCAGCTGGATCTTCTGGAAGTTTGCCTGTGCCAGCCAGCTGAGCCAGAGTCCCAGTGGTACAGGGGATGCCCTCTTCACAGGTGTGTCCCTGATCTGTATACCCAGCATAGCAGTCATCCAGCAGCTGGTGGGGGATGTCTTTCCCACTCACGTGAAGTCCTGTTTGGGCTACCAGGTGGGCCGCGGGGCTCCCACCTCACTCCTGAATTACAGACCTCTTCGTTTCATAGCTTATGAAGTCTTCCCAGCTTGAACCAGGGCCCAGAATATCACCTAAAACTGTGGCATGGAGGCAGTCCCTTGATTTGAAGTTGGTGGCAGGCCCAGATGTCATCAGGAGAGCTAGGCCACTTGTCACTTCTCTGTTCCTGGGGAATATAGAGTCATGTTTAATATATATTCATGATAT